GCGTGCAGCTCCCGATGTGGTGACGGGTATGTATCTTCTCCTTATCTCTTTATTTATATTGAATTGTTGCTTATGTTTTTGTGTTTTATTTTCTAGGATCGTTCCTTGTGAACGACATCTCTACTTTAGTATTATTTAATTCGGGGGCTACCAGATCATTTGTATCTCTTGCGCTTAGCAAGAGATTTGTTGGAGCTCCGAGGGAGCTAGATTGTCCTTTAGATGCTGATATTGCTGATGATAGGTCTATTCGGGTTGCGAGGGTTCATCAAGGGTGTACCCTTTAGTTATTCAGCGAGTAGTATCCGGTGGATCTGGTTCCCTTTCCTTTGCGTGGAAACAAGGTTATTGTGGGCATGGATTGGTTGAGCCCTAATAGGGCAGTGATCGACAGTGAGCAGTAGTTGGTTCGAAGCAGACTTCAGACAGCTCAGATTCGACAAAAGAGCTATGCCGTCCGGCGCCGATCAGACCTGGAATTCCAGGCGGGAGATATGGTCCTCCTGAAGGTGTCACCTTGGAAAGGTGTCACCCGGTTCAGGAAGCGGGGGAAGCTGGGCCCCATATATATTGGACCCGTCAGGGTTTTGGCTCGGGTGGGCCGGGTAGCTTATCGTCTTGACTTTCCAGCTGAGCTCAGTCATATTCATAGCACTTTTCATGTCTCTCAGTTGAGGAAGTGTTTAGTAGATGATTCCGCAGTTGTACCTTTGGAGGATATTCAGGTGGATGACCGCCTGAATTACATTGAGAGACTGGTGGCCATTTTAGATCAGAGAACGAAAACCTTGAGAAACAAGGTAGTGGAGCTGGTTAAGGTGTAGTGGCTGCACCGCAAGGGGTCTGAGTGGACGTGGGAGCCGGAGGAAGAGATGAGGGAGCATTATCCCGAGTTGTTCGAGGCGACGGACTTCGAGGTTGAAGTCTGATCCAAGTGGCGGAGAATTGTAACACTCGATTTCCAAGGTATTTATTTGAATTGTTGATTTACTTAAATATTTCTGGTTGGGCCTTGGAGTCTTTGTACTTTTATCATTTTGGGATTTGAGAGGGTGTCGTATGCTGGGCGTACCACCCTACGTACGTTGGGCGTACTGATTGAAGTTGGATGCAGATGTCATGCATGTACACGCTGCGTACTGAGGAGTACGCGCAACGTACGTGTCCAGACCCAAAATCCTACATTTTAGGGTTGGAGAACTATATAAAGAACATTATGCCTTAAGCACCAGCCTCCCTCTTATCTCTAATCAGCCTCCACGAAACCCTAACTTCTATATTGTGTGTTCTTGTGCTTGGAAGGTCCCTTGAGTGCATTCTTGGTGTTTTGATCCATTTTCCAAGGAAAGGAAGGTTGAAGCAAGGTGGTGGTTCAAGGAGAAGTTTGTGGATCTGAGTTGTTTGATTCATTTCAATCTCTTGCAAGCTTGGGGAGCCGTAGGACCAGCAGTCAGGGATCATTCGTTTCGATCAACTTTTCGAGGTGAGTTATCCTCACCGGTTTTAGCGGGTCTAGGCACCAAGGCCGACCCTTGTTGATTATGTTGATATACTCGTTGTCTATGTGATATCTGTATGTGCATGTATATGTATGCTTATTGGGCGGGGCCCGTATTGCGAGTGTGGGCGGGGCCCGTATCTGTATGGGCGGGGCCCGTTCTGCGAGAGTGGGCGGGGCCCGTTATATGAATGTGGACGAGGCCCGTATTTCTTTAGGCGGGCCCCATTATGTGTTATGTTGGTATGTGGTATCTTGGGGAACTCACTAAGCTTTATGCTTACGGTTTTCAGTTTATGTTTCAGGTACTTCCGGTTCCAAGGGGAAGAGCTCAGACTGATCGTATCACACACACCACAGAGATTTCGCGTTTCATATTTACTCTGATTTAGATACATTTGATACATTGTTTTGATGAGATGAATGAATGATGTTTGAAAACACTATTTTTATCTATTATAAAACGAAATTTTTGGGACCATATTTTTGGATGTTTCATTTTTAGTTATTCAATTCTTTTAGTTCTCAAACAAATCACACCCCCGTCCCCCTTTTTATTTTAATTTTAATTAGTTAGTTTTATTTCACTTATTCAATTGGATTGCATTGGTGATTGAATACAACCATTTCCCCGTGGATCGATCCATTTTTTACTACTATATTATGTTTTATTTGCAAGAAAAATGGTGTAATTTGCTTGGTGAACTTTACATCCTACCACTAATCCTCATTACATACATCTTTATTTGTGTAAACTAGATATGGCTCAAAATGTTTACTCGATTGTTTCATTTGCAGACTATCAATTGGTACATGCATGGCATAGAAAATTAATAAACGAATATAACATATTAAAGAAGTAACAAAATGTAATATAAAATGTAAGTCGTACATTTGATTTTTCATGTTGTTCCTCATCATTCTCAATCTTGTTTATAACATCAACAATACAAAAAACAATACTTTTTCTATCAGAACATAAGTTGGCGTTTGGTTCGAAGAATGTTTCTAAAGGAATTGGAATCTGTTGGGAATTAAAATCCAATTCAATATTCTGGTTTGTTGGCCATAAATGGAATTAGAATTCAATACCATATTCTTTCTAGTTCACAATCATGTTAGATAAATTTGATTTCAATAATGTAAAATGAAAAAAATTTCTCTTTCTTGTGTTTGTTACTTTATTTTATAACTCATAGATATATTATATAAATATTTTAATAGTAAATGGTGGATGTGTTGGTGGTGGTAGGCGGTGGCAGATGTGGTGATGGTGGAAGAGCTTAGGGATGGAATTTATTCACCTGACCTTTAAGATGAGATGAGTCAATGTGATTTTTAGTTTATTTATGTGCTTCCTTTTCTGTCTTTATACAATCCTCAACATATCCATCCATTCTGACTACCTATAAGAAACCAGCTTAGTAATTTGATATGATTCACTTTTTGAAACCTCAGTCTTGCGAGTAAGGTACACAATAAGACTCCAACTACCTTGGTACACCTTACCCTAATGATCTACTCAGATACTTCCTCCTGGTGTCCACTTGATCAAACATCTTATGATTTTTGGTTTTGTTTAGCTCATCCAACTTCTCTCTTCTCATTACAACTCTTGAAAATTGATCCATAAGCTTCTAGTGTGTGAAGAGCTCCCTTTGCTGCAACCACTCTCTTTATAATCATGTCATCCATTTTTTCAATATTTTCTTTCAACGGTAACTTGTTGTGGTCCAAAGAGAAAACTGACCTCCTCAACCGAAACTCATAACTCTTTGGCCAAATCTTGTATGATAACGATCTTTTACTTCTTGTGGGAGGATGGAAGTGATGATTCAGCAACTAGTTTCTTTTTCAGCTGGTTAACGGGGGTGTTGTCATTGAACGAGCTGGAGATAGTGGTCTCAACTACTCCCCCTCATCATGTGGCTCATGTAGATGATCCGAATAAATCACATTAGTCGAAATAGTTTACAAAGGTTGATCCTACAAAAATGATATATTGAGATCAACGAAGTCCTCCATGTCTTATTCACCACCATGATATTCATCACTTGAGCCATGCTCCTCCAAAGCTGAGTACTCCCCCTCAGCCATGGAATTCTCCCCCACCCTTTTTGACATCATCATCATAAAGGACCTAAGCCATTTTTGCAACAATATTGGGAGGAGTAGAAGCTTCAAAAACATATGGAGTGGTGGTAAAATTAGGTGAGACAATTAGGATATAAGGAGTAGTTGGAGTTAATATGGAGGGTGTAGGTCTGGCAGTGAATATGAAGGTAGAGTTGTAGTCTTGTAGATAAGATCTTGTTGATATATATCTTCCACCTTGATGTTTAGAGATGTCATAAATGTATTTTCAACTTAGAGGATAAGTGAGATAAGACATAAGGATGGTGAAGAAGGTGACTTTGTGAGAGGCTACCTCATCCTGTTGAGAAGGAATATATAAATCCCTCCTTAAAGTTAGAGTCCTTGTAGGATGACGAGTAGGTTGGGAAGGAACAACTATATGTAAGCTAATAGTTGTTTCACAGATATATTGATCAACATCCGGTTCGTGTTAATGCTCCATGATGAGAGACAAGAAACGAGATAAGTGCACTCGGTTGGTCTTCGTACGACCATTCACATCTCACATTTTAGTGTCTCCAAATTTAACAATTATTACATTTGTTTTATTAATTATTGAAACACCACCTTGGTACACTTATAGTCAGTTTTGGTATTTGTCTTGTGGTTTATTAGAATAAACTTTTAATTATGCATTTATGCATACTCAAAGCACCTTCACCAAGTTATCATCTCTATCTAACAATAATAATATATATTGAAAATAGCCTCAAGATGAAGCCTGGTGACCGAGGAGTGGAATTCGACACGGTAAGTTCATGTTTCAAACATTGACACACTCAAAATATTTTTAGTTATCCACAATTGACCTCTCACATAGGTTTTGGGATGGAGGTGACATTAGGAAGATGTCGGAAGTTAACATTTGTTTTAATATATATTGAAAGCCCCATAAAGATGTTACTTGCCGTGCTTAAAAACTCAAAAAAGCCCATACACATAGCAATAAGGATTTAAACAAATAAACAAAATAGAAAGCCACACCATACGCTTTATGCATGTTGGATTTGTTAATTCCACATATGATGATCCAACAATCATTTCATAAGGTCTTTAATGATAATTCGTGATTTCAAAGAACAAATGAAGTTGTCATCCTTAGAAGCGATCTCTTTGGTAGTGACATCAACAAGCACTTAAACAGTCAATCAAAATACGTTTCAAATACAAAAACTTTAAGGAACTTTAACTAGTAATGTGTTTTACTCCATATACAAAACATACCCCTCTTATATCTCAAAAAAAAGATAAATTTGAAACAATGAGAAGGATTTAATAGTTATATGTAGTAAAAAGTAACTATTATGAAATAAATATAACAAGAGAGACTATTATGAAACATTACACCAACATATGATATTATGATGTACAATTGCCAATCGAATTCCATAAATCATAAAAGTTGTCATGAATCCACTTTCACACAAGTTATTCCCAATCCAACATATGATATCATCAAACAAACAACAACAATATCAAATGAATTTTCCAAACACAAAAAATAAAAATAAAAAATACAATAAAACGCCGAGAAACATATTACTTCCCCGTATATAAAATCTCAAAATAAACGTAAGTATGTCGATCAAGAATCAGATGAATAAACAAATTAGCAAGTTATTCCATCAACGGAATCGGAATCACATCCCTTGTTGATTCCGTTGAAGATGGCCCAACAACGATTCCGCCTTCCTTTTCGCCCTTTCCGACCCATTCTTCACCAATTCCATCAACGGAATCACAGCCCCGAGTCTACTTATACACTCAAGATTCTCACTATCTCTTTTGCATAAAGAAAGCAAGATCGAAGTGGCATTTTCTTTGTTTCTTGAAACTCCAGTTCTCATAAGATCAATCAACAATGGAATCGTCCCGGCTTTCACGATTCCAACCTTTGCTTCTTGATGGCTAGCAAGAACCGAAAGTATTGTCAACGCCTCATCCACCATACAACCACCGGAACCGGAACCGGAATCGGAATCGGAATCGGAATCACGTAACATTTTTAGCAATACGGTTATGATTCCGGCCCTCACTGCTCTCCCTTTATTCCCTTGGTAAATGCAAAGATTAAACAAAGCAGTTGCAGCATCTTTCTTCCCTCTATTGCTTCCGTTTTCAAGAAGATTAACTAATGCCGGAATTGCCCCTGATGCTCCGATTATGATTTTATTTTCATTAGCAAGTGATAAACTGAAAAGGGTAGCGGCGGAATTTTCTCTTGTTTCCATTGTTCCAACTCTAAGAAGTTGGACAATGGAGGGTACAACATTTGCCAACATTATAAGTGCTTTGTTGTTTTCGTATATAGAAAGGTTCAAAATTGAAGTGACTGCGTTTTCTTGGATAAGGGTATCTTCGGAATTTAACAAACTTACGAGAATCGGAATTGCCCCTGCTTCTGCTAAGAGGATTCGGTTGTCTGTGCTTCTTTTTGATAAAGATCGGATTTCGGACAATGCTGCCCTTCTTTCTTCAATGGAATGGCTTGAGAGATTCCGGACTATAACTTCAATGGCTTCTATGTCTTCGGTTACATCGCGAAATGACCCATCTGTCCTTTTTAGTTTCCTGTTTGTTAGTAATGTTGGTTGTTCAATGTTGTGATTGATACACCACTGTGTGATTAAACTTCTTAACACGTAGTTGGGTGTTAGAGTTGTGTTTTGAAGCTTTTGTTGAGTTTTTGGACATGTTGTGTTGCCACAATCGATCCATCTTTGTATGTATGATCTTTCATATGTCTGTAAGAATGGATAAGATTTCAGAAGTTGGAATGGAATTGAAAAGGAAAAGGTTGAACAAAGGAATGGAATCTACCTGTCCAGTGGAGACAATAACAGGATCCCTCATGAGTTCTAGAGAAATAGGGCAAAGGAAATCATCAGGAATTGCAGGGGCATCCAACTTCTTGTTTTCATCAATGTTCTTGCAAGTCTCCAATGGAGATGATGCTGATGAAATCTTGGAATCATTGGATTGATAAATCATTTCGTTTTGATTATACCCTTTTGAAAGATTTTCTTTTGAAGCACTTTCCACCTTTGTTTCTGGTTCTTGATGATTAATGTTACCCGTATTTTCTACTTGTTCTTTATCTGGGACCTGAAGTAAGGCTTGTGAAAGAATGGAAGAATTTAGGGGTTTACCATATCTTTCCCTTGCTCTTCGAAGTTGACCTCTCACTAAATCAACCTGAGGGGAAAAAAATTATTAAGAATATAAACTCCATTGATGACCAATAAGATGAGCATAAGCATAAGCATAATTGTGTTCTTACTTGTTCTTGAACTTCCTCCGAGATTTCAAAATCATCATATGGTAAGTTTGCTAATGCTTTTTCCAATTTCCATGTAACGCATTGGAATTGAAATGCGATTTTCTTGGCTGATCCTTCCTATAATCAAAAGCAATAAAGTATGAGTAACACAATAGAATCTGTATAAGGAACTGTAATCGCATGATTGATAGGATGATATTGATTAGCGATGTTATCTAAACTCAGAAATGAAAGATTTATAGAGTCGAAATTGTTTTGATTCTTTCGTGTATGTCATCAGAAAACTGATTGATCATAGATAAATTTTCACGAAAATCGAGGACAGATGTTAAAAGCATCAAGCGAATCACCAATTGACAGATTACGAACAACTCATAATTCTACCAACATTGCTAATTTTTGAAGCAATTTGATCAGATTTTAATTGAACAGAACGTTATGTAGGCTATTAATAGTATGATACGAAACGAACGATGAAGTAATACAAGTGAATTGTAATATAACCATTTGAAAGTTCAATTGAGTGGAATTAAACAATCAAATTCATCGATTCATACAAAAATTGAGACGTACTCACCGGAGAGATCTTTTGATCGAAATTGCCTGCAATTACGAGTAGCTTTTTCGCAGCTTGAAGAGTAACCGTTAGGTCAGACAAGCAAGATGAAGAAGACGACGAAGAAGCCGATTCATCCAACAACCTCAAATCCCCTTTAAAGTCCCTAATTTCCTCCAACAAATGCGACAACAAGGCCACCCTTCTACACAAATCAGTACAATCTTTCTTAAAGTCTCCATTGAATCCGGTGCCGGAGCAACGCGCAACGTCCCTGACGAGGCGGAGGAGGGATTGGATAGAGGCAAGGATGGCGGTGGAATCAACGCCGGCCATGGCTGGTAGTGGTAGCGAATTTTTGCTATGTATGGCAGACCACTATGCAAAGGAGTAGATTGAAGGATTGGGTCTTTAATAATAATGTCAAAGATTAAAATAATGTGGATAAAATTAAGGCGAGATTCTCGGAGGAAGAAGGATTATGTAAGTATTTGAATGAGTAGTTGTTGGTGTAGGTGCGTGTTCATGGTGTGAGTGTGTGAGAGAGAAATAGAAGAAGACAGTTGTAAAGGGGAATATTGTGAGGAGGATTGGAATAGAGTGGTGATTTCCTTTCTAATAATTGGATGAATTGGCTTGGCTCTTTAGGAAACCACATATATGTCTCCTACATTATTTCATAGGCTTTCTATGAAAAATTCAAACATGTAAAGGTTTTAAAGTAAAAGAGTGTAATAAGGTTTTAACTTTAGGTCCTTATAAGGTTTTTTTTTTTTTTTTTTTTTTTTACATATTACACCAACATGGTTGTTATAACCGTTTAAAAAAAGTAATAAAGTTTTAATTTTGTCCACAATAGGTCCTGAACGTCTTTTTTTTGTACATATTACACCAACATGGTTGTTATAACCGTTTAAAGAAGGATAATAAGGTTTAAATGTGTCTACATTAGGTCCCTATTTTTAATATGTTTATCATTTCATCTAACTTTTACAATTTATATTAGTATCTAGTTAGATGGCTTCATCATTTCATCTTCTCATTTTAGTCGCCCATTCACCACAACCACGGTTTCAATCAAAAGATTACGTAAGCCAGTGGCGGAGTCAGGTCAAAGTAAAAGAGTATCTCCGAAAAGTAATGAGATATCCCCAATAAGTAATGGTTCCGCTAATTGGGTATCCCCGATAGGCAATTACTTATCGGAGATACCTCATTACTTGTCGGGGATACTCTTTTACTCTGACTCTAGCTCTGCCACTGGCTTATAAGTTACCCAAAATTTATATAATGACATAAAATAGCATTTAAAAAATATGTTTTCTTATTAAGAGGTATATTTGGAAATTAAAAAAAAAACTTTTAAAAAACTAGTCTAAGTAGCTTTTTAAAATGCTAGTTTATAAGCTACTTTTTGGCTTGCCAAACATGACAACTTAAAAAATATCGAAAAATAAACTAGCTTATCAGCTAGCTGTGGCACCAAACATAGTCTTAATCATTAAGACTTTCATTATTATTAGCTTTTTTCGTAAAAATGGAAAAAAAAAATTGTTATGTAACCTTTCGATAGAAATCGTGGTTGTGGTGAATGGGCGACTAAAATGAAAAGATGAAATAATGAAGTCATCTAACTAGATACTAATATAAATTGTAAAAGAGTTAGATGAAATGATAAAAATATTAAAAATAGGGACCTAATGTGGACACAGTTAAACCTTATTACCTTTTTTTAAACGGTTATAACAACGATGTTGGTGTAATATGTACAAAAAAAGACATTAGGAACCTAATATTGACAAAATTAAGACCTTATTACCCTTTTTAAACAGTTTATAACAACTATACTGGTGTAATATGTACAAAAAAAACCTTAAGGACCTTATGTGGACAAAGTTAAAACCTTATTACCCTCCTAGGTCATTAACCCTAAAATTACATATAAATTAGGGTTGTATTCTTGTACATTGTAGTTAAAAATAAATAAAACCATATAATTAGCTTCAAAGTTAAATGATAAAATTTATTTATGTATAATTTTATATATGTTTGATCATTAAACTTATTAAATGTGTTCGCATATTACCATTTGGAAGTGATTCGTACACAACAATTTTTAGTCATACACAACAATTTATGCATTATTGAGTTGTACAGTACAACATTTTAAAGCACAAATTGTTGTGTACGGAGAAAAATTGTTGTGTACAAATCATCTCCCCATTACCATTATTACCGGTTATATCAGGTAACAATGGTAATATATTGACACATTTAACAAATTTGATGGTCAAATTTGTATAAAAAAATAAAGTTGTCTAAATATGAACAAAACAAAAAGGTAATTATCCATCTAAATCATTTTTTTTCCTATTTATCTCACTTTTTATAGAGATTTTATTTTTTATATTTGTTTCTAGAGAAATCTCCATAAAAGTCCCAATATTTTCGGAAAAGTTACACTTTAGTCCCAAGATTTTTTTTTGAACGAAAAAGTCCTGAAAACCGGCAAAAATTTGCAGTTTGACCATTTTTGACCGGTTGAAACCGGTACCAAATTAATTTAGGACTATTTCGTAAACTAATCCAAAATATTGGGACTTTTCTGAAAACAAAAATATTAGGACTTTTCTGAAAACAAAAATATTAAGACTTTTCTGCAAACAAAACCCTTATTATTATTATTATTATTATTATTATTATTATTAAAAATATAAATAAGAATACTATTTTTTGAACTTGTATTATTAATATTGTTAATAAAACATATAAATGTATTTAAATGAAACAATAATGACATTATTTAAGGGTGGATGTGTGGAGGAGATGACGATGTTTTTAGCATTGAAATCATGAATTTCTGCTTGTATATTTTTACTTTGTATATGGTCATTTCACATTTGTTATTATTGTTTTCAATTCAGAATATTAATACTTAACAATTTAAAAGAAATTGCATATTTGTAAAATTGTTTAAATAGTTTAAGGTAGAAGGATTTCTCACTTTGTATATAAAATTGTTTAAGATAGAATGATTAATTTCCAGATCCAACAGATCCACTACAAACATCTACATAGATAGGTAGCCCATATCAGCAGACGGCGTTTGAGACCTTGACGTAGAGATTGTGCGAGGCGCCAATCTTAGCCCTGCCAGAGGGCAAGGAGGATTTGTCGTATACTGCGATGCGTCCATCTTGGGTTTGAGCGCAGTTTTGATGCAGATAGGACATGTTATTGCTTACGCTTTGAGGCAGCTGAAGCCTCACGGAGCAAATTATCCGACACATGATTTGGATCTGGGGGCTGTTGTTTTTGCCCTCAATATTTGGCGCCATTACCTCTATGGGGTTCGTTGTACTATCTACACGGACCACAAGAGCCTGAGGTATCTCATGGACCAGCCGAATCTGAATATGAGGCAGCGTCGGTGGCTTGATGTGGTGAAGGATTATGATTGTGAGATCCTCTACCACCCGGGGAAGGCCAATGTCATGGCCGATGCGCTTAGCAGCAAGGCAGCGCCGATCAGGGACATCTGTATGAGGATGACCGTGGTGGCTCCGTTGTTAGAGCGGATCCGAGAGGCCCAGCAGGAGGCGATGAAGGAGGAACACCGGAAGAGCGAGCGTATTGTGGGTCAAGTTTCCTCCTTCGACTATGATAGTCGAGGGTTATTGACTCTTCACCGTAGGGTGTGGGTCCCTTATCATGGAGGCGTGCGCCAGATATTGATGGAGGAGGCACACAAATCCAGATTTTCTATCCATCCAGGAGCGACGAAGATGTATAGGGATCTTCGACTTGACTATTGGTGGCCCTGCATGAAGCGGGACGTAACATGGTATGTAGAGCGGTGCTTGACCTGCAGGAAGGTCAAGGCCGAGCACCAGAGGCCACATGGCAAGATGCAGCCGTTAGATATTCCCATGTGGAAATGGGAAGATATTTCCATGGATTTCATCACCAAGCTTCCCAGGACTGCACGGGGAGTGGATTCGATTTGGGTGATCGTGATCGGTTGACCAATAGCGCCCATTTCGTACTGATCCAGGAGAGCATCTCGGCCAAGAAGTTGGCCGACATCTATATCCGAGAGGTAGTAGCTCGGCACGGAGTGCCAGTTTCAGTGATTTCCGACAGGGATGTGCGGTTCGCTTCCAGGTTTTGGAAGAAGTTTCACAACGAGATAGGTACTCGTCTGCATTTTAACACCGCCTTCCACCCGCAGACGGATGGTCAGAGCAAGTGGACCATCCAGACACTAGAGGATATGTTGCGGGCATGTGTTTTAGATTTCATAGGTAGCTGGGATACCTACCTTCCGTTGGCGGAGTTCTCGTATAATAATAGCTATCATGCGAGCATCGACCGTCCTCCTTTCGAGATGTTGTATGGGAGGAAGTGCAGGACCCCGATATTCTGGGGTGAGGTTGGTCAGAGGGTCATGGGGAGTACCGAAGTGGTACTCAATACTACGGAGAGGATCCAGCAGGTTCGGAGCAGACTTCAGACTGCTCAGAGTCGGCAGAAGAGTTATGCCGACAAGCGTCGATCGGACCTGGAATTCCAGGTCGGAGATATGGTGCTCCTGAAAGTGTCGCCTTGGAAGTGCGTCATTCGATTCAGGAAGCGGGGCAAGCTGGGCCCCAGGTATATTGGACCCTTCAGGTTTATGGCCCGGGTGGGCAAGGTGGCGTATAGGTTGGATCTGTCGGCTGAACTCAGTCAGATTCATAGCACTTTACACGTCTCCCAGCTACGGAAGTGTCTGGTGGACGATTAAGCAGTGGTGCCTTTTGGAGGATATTCAGGTTGATGACAGCCTGAACTATATTGAGCAGCCAGTGGCGATCCTGGACAGGAAGTCAAAGGATCTGAGGAACAAGAGAGTGGAACTGGTGAAGGTGAAATGGCAGCACCGCAAGGGCTCGGAGTGGACCTGGGAGCTGGAGGAAGAGATGAGGGAGCACTGCCCCGAGCTTTTTCAGGATCGAGTAGCAGACTTCGAGGACGAAGTCTAAGATAAGTGGGGGAGATTTGTAGCACCCGGTTCCCGGTATGAATTCCATTCGAGTATTATTCATTTTTAGCCTAGACCTCGGCGAGTTGGTGGCCAAATCGACGAGTAGGAGCGACTTGGACCCGGGAGTTTAATGACCTACTCGACGAGCCAGAAGCCAGACTCGACGAGTAGGCCCTGTCTGGACAAAAACCTAATCTAAGGGATTGCACCCTATTTAAGCATCTCATTCAGCCTCCCTTCGCCCCTATTGCTCCCAGAACACTTCCTACTGAAACCCTAATCGTTTGTGTTGAGATCTAAGACCTTTGTGGTGGTTTTTGGTGATTTTAGAACATAATAAGGAGGAGAAAGGCTTGAGGAATCAAGAGGAGGCCAGAGGAGTTCGAGTTTGTGCACCCACTGCAGTTCTCTAGAGGTATAAAGCTGAACCCTGCTCTTTCATGTTTTAGATCCCTTTTTGGGGTGATTTAGGGCTTTTAGGAGCCATTCTTGGTGACCAATCATGAGTGCAAGCATGGTTGAGGGCTAAGACTTCAGATCCAAGGTCTTTAAGGGGTTACAAGTCAGAAAGGGGCTGATCTTGGAGCCTTGGAAAGCCCCATG